TAAGGGTATATTTGTTTAAAAAAGACAAACATGCTATTTTCCTGATTTATAAATATTTCCAGTGGCATCTCCAAGGTTTTCTATTATGATTTATGCTGCCACTGGTCTAATTATGATTTACTGATTAGATTCATTTAGAGATCAGTTTGACAAATGAACATTCATTATGAAGAGAAATTGTCAGTGATAACTAACTCTGTACTGGTGATCATAAAACAGGAATATAAGAAAAATATTGTTTGCCTTCAATTGACCATTAATTTTATCCCACTGATATTAACAATTTTTTAAAGATTTTATTTATTTATTTGAGAGAGAGAGAGAGACAGAGAGAGAGCACAAGCAGGGGGAGGGGCAGGGGGAAAGGGAGAAGCAGACTCCACGCCGAGCAAAGAGCCCAACACGGGACTTGATCCCAGGACCCCAGGATCATGACCTGAGCTGAAGGCGTTTAACTGAATGAGCCACCCAGGGGCCCCTGGTATTAACAATCTTTAATGGCATTCTTTAATTAATCATGTTTCCATACTTCATATAGTTATCCAGAACTTTTCAAGTTTGTTTTCTTTTCTTTGCAAAGGTTTTAATCAGAACAAGTGTGATATTTAAACTCTTTTATATTCAAACTCTTTATTTTTAAGAGCACTCTGTCCAATTCATTTGAAGTGTAGTTACTCTGCTCACAACTGAGTGCATCTTGACATTTGAAAATGAATACGGGCCTCAAGAGAAAGTGCAATTTACTCAGGTTTCACAGTTGCTCTTATTTAGTGATGTCTATGATCATATTAAAGATATATTAATTGCATTTCAGGATTAACTCTGACTGAAGGGTCTATGAAAAAGAGCCCATACACAATTATTTATTGCTCTGTCTCATTCTTTGTAAAGGCTCCTTTTGGGAAGTTGGAAGGGAGATAAACCAATAAAGGGTAAATAAACTCAAATGCATTTTTTTAAAAGTCACCAACAATTTTATTATTCCTGCCAGAAGCCATCAGCTGTACGCAGATTAACTTTAATAGGGAGTTGTGTACCAAGAATCCTGACATAGAACCTCTAATTAGAGCTGATTAAAATTTTTTTCAAATGCTTACTCAGAGAAGTGTACTTAATGGTGAATTGTAACCTTTCAAAAATTGAAATTACAAAATAATTGAATAAGAGGAGGTAGAAGAAGATGCAGGGGAGAGGCAGTTTCATAACTAGAGGAGAGGGTATTCTCAGAAGGAGCCCCTGCTTCTGGTAAACCTGTGAAGGCATTCCATGGGCAAACATTTCTTTCTCTTCTTTTATATACCAGTTTCTTGGTCTACTTGAGCGTGCAAAAGGCTCTGGAATTAGTTTGAGCTATTTACATCAGAATCTTTTAAAATGTGATCGTTTTCCCATAGCCATTTGGCATATAAATCATTGCAAAAGCTTTTTGTCATATTTATTTGTTCGGCCCATATCTTTTCTATTAATAATTTAATCTTGTTTGTCATCAACTTAACCTGAATGAATAGCCAGTTTCAAGATCCTTTAGGTAAACTGATCTTTTGTAAGGTCAGTTCCCAACATTTTCTCTATAGCAATATACATGGAAAATGACTTTTATATGCAGTACACTTCTTATCAGATATACACAGAGTAATCAACCCCTGGCATCTCAACTATAATTCTACACCATTTCCTTTGCAACTTGAAAGAAGAGTACATGGAAACCTAAATGATAATGATGTTACCATCGATACAATCTTGAATTTGGTCTACTAGAGTTTCAAGATTAAAGCTTTAATAATAGAAATAAAGCACATCTTATAGCTGATGAGTATGTCACAATCAATAGAACAGAATATGAAATTAGAAATTACAGAACTATCAATGAGTAGCATTTGTGCTACATGGGAATGGAAAACCTTAACTTCAAAGAGCATTGTTGATGGCCCAGAGCAATCACTACATAATGACTTTTGGTTGAAGGAATTTCCCCCCTTTGTAAGAGTCAAATTATAACTGCCAATCATCAGGGCGCCAGGATGGCTCAGTCAGTTAAGCATCTCACTCTTAGCCCCATGGAGGCTCCTGCAAGGATGTGGAGCCTGCTTAGGATTCTCTCTCTCTCCATCTTCCTCTGCCTCTGCCCCCACCCTTTTGCAAGAGCTATCTCATACCATTTGCAAGAGCTCTCTCATTAATTAATTAATTAATTAAATAAAACTGCCAATCACCTGTGTCTCTTTTCCATGTAGAAATCTGGATTGTTATCCTGAAAGAATAAGATTCCTTACAGTCTTCTTACCTGATTGCAATGTTTCCTCTATTTGCCAGAGATGTAGACATAGACTCGTCAGGTCACACTGGAGAGTCAGACGCATGTTACTTCACTTTCATGATGTTCACACTTAAAGAGATAAAGGACATTTAGTTTGTGGATTCTCCCTCAATTGGAGTTTTACGGATTTTTTTTCTGATTATTTTCAGCTCATTCTTCTTTAACAGGAATATCACAAAAATGATGTGAAGTATTTTTCTCTTTGTATTCTATCAGGTGACACACATTTTTTATGTGTACCATTACTGATGATGTTCACCTTGATTACTTTGTTGAGGTGGTATCTGCCAGAATCCACTGTGAAGTTACTCCCTTTACCTGCATTTATTTTTTTCTTTATCTGTATTTAATAAGCCTTTTGTAGAGAGAGTTTTCTGTGTCAATTTGGTGGCCATAATACCGAGTTATTTAATCAAATACTAATTTAGGTGTTGCTGTGAAGGTATTTTGTAGATGTAGTTAATATCTATAATCAGTCTACTTCAATTAAAGGAGATTGCCCAAGATAACGAGGGTGGGATTCATTCCATCAGTGGAAAGGCCTTAAGAGCAAAAACTGAGGAAAAGTATCTGCTTCAAAACTGCAAACTCCTGCCTGAGTTTCCAGCCTTTTGGCTTGCCCTATATAATTTGGATTTGCCAGCCCCAAAAATCACATGAGCCAGTTCTTTGAAATAAATCTTTTCATATAACATAGTAAAAATTACTGCTTAATTATTAAATAAAATATATATTTTGCCCATATATATCTAGTCCATATATATCTAATCCTTTGGGTTCTATTTCTCTGAAAAACCTTGACTGATCTGACTGATAGGGATTTTGGTATTTGGGAGTGGTTTAGGAGGAACAGAATCTTAAGGATGAGATTTCTGAATTGATTGTATGGAGGTAATTTGAGATTATGAAATGTCCTGTTCTTCATCAAAATGTCAATTTATCCATTTTTCATTTACATCAGTATGGACTTATGATTTCCTAATTTATTCAATGGTTTATAATCTATGTTTTGTAGTAACTATTGAAATATACTTCACATTGTATATAATCTACACTTTCTAAGTATAGAATTCAGTGATTTTTACTGTATTCAGAGGATTTGGGCAACCATCACCACAATTAATTTTTGAATACTTTTCTCACCCCAAAATGAAGACCTGTACACTTTCTTTTTTATCCCCCAGACTCCTCATCTCATCCAGGCTTGGCAACCACTTACCTATTTTCTGTCTCTATAGATTTGCCTGTTTTAGACATTTCATATAAATGGAAAAATGTAATATGTAGTCTTTTGTGACTGGCTTGTTATTACTTAGCATAATATTTTCAAGTTCTTCATATTGTAGTATGTATCAGTATATCATTCCTCTTTATGGTCAAATAATATCCCATTGTGTAAAAACCACATTTTGTTTATCCATTCATTATTTTTTGGGGGGGGGGACTGGTTCTTTATTTCAAAAAGACACTTGTCAATTTTCAGTATCAAAACAGTTTGCATGTGCTTTCTTTCTTTCTATTGGTTTCTTTCTCCCAATCGGCCCCCAGAGAGCACACCAAAGGAGAGTGCATTTTAAGCCAATAAGCTGCAGGATGCACACGTATCAGGCCTCATAGAAACCTCACCAAAAAGGGGAACTGGGGAGGGAAAGAAACTTTTAAAAGATCAGCACACTGTCAGCCCACAGACTGTAGAGAGTTCTCAGCCAGACAGGGTGGCCAATGTGCCCCACCCCTAAAGAAGCAAAGTTTCAAAAAAAACAGTTTTGTACATAATCTATTCAAGATTTCTCCAGCACTAACTGATACGAAGCACAAGATGGCACTTTTAGAGACAGCAGCTTCGGACCCAGCAAAGGGTGATGAGATGAGTTTGTTTCATATGGCTAAATCAGTGGCAAACACATAATTTTCTTTTTTTCCTTCAAGGAGGCAGGAGAGAAAATAAGCAGTCACCTCAACAAAAGGGGAACATGATCCATTCTATGGGCAGTTAAGGTAAAGATAGGATAAGGATTTGGCTCAGATAGAGGTCTCACCATCTTAATTTGTTTGGTCACTTCTGATGGAAAAACAAAATTAAAAAATGTAAGTTGCTCAAAGATACCTTAAAGCTGAAACCCTGAGCCTCACTTTTTTGGCCACTCCTCCTGGAATCACCTTTCTGATCTGGCTGGTACTTTGGACAAAGCAATGAAGCTTCCCAGAGTGGGTCTCTTTCCGGGCTCTGGCTCTCAGTAAGGCAGGCCCCTGCCTCCTCCCTGCGGAGAGGGCGGTATGCACTAAACTGAAAAGTTACTTTCCAAATGTGAGGAAGGGAACAGACTGCTGCTTCAGAACTGTAGAATTATTTGGAATGTTTTACAAATGGTTGCTACATCAACAATAACAAAATGTGTACATCACAACATGCTTTTAAAGACACTTTGCCTTGTGCTCACATTCCCTTAAACATTGTTCCCAAAGGTGCTCAGCCTCAAGCCCAACTGGAATCTCTAGGGAGAAGCAGAGACAGTTTGGCGAAAAAGACACAGGGGTTGGGGTGGGAGAGGCGGCAAAAGGAGAAAGCAGCCTTCCAGTTAAAGATCAGCCCTCAGTTTCAAGGCCAGCTTCGGGCAGGCTGGCCTCAGTGGAGTCGGGATCAGAGGGGGGAGGAGCAGCGGCAGGGCAGGACTGGGGTGCTCTACATCTCATTCAGGTTAAGCAGAGTCTGGTCCAGCATCCTTTGTGTACAGAGGTGCTCCTCTTTGGTGCATTTCAGCTTATCTTCCAAATCATCAATTGTCTTCTCCAGCTTGGCTACCGATCTCTCAGCAAACTCGGCACGGGTCTCTGCCTCCTTGAGTTTATCCGTGAGAATCTTTATCTCTTCCTCATATTTGTCTTCCTTTTGAGAGTACTTTTCTTCAGCAGCACTCAGACACTTCAGGTTCTGGTCCATCAGTCTGATCTGCTCATCCATCTCCCGGCAACGGGACTCTGCCAGCTCAGCTTGTTCCTCTGTGCGTTCCAAGTCCCCCTCAATAATCACCAACTTCTGAGCCACCTCTTCATACTTCCGATCTGCCTCTTCTGCAATGTGCTTGGCCTCTTTGAGTTGGATTTCCTGGAGTTCCATCTTTTCTTCATCTTTTAAGGCTCAGTTCTCAATAACCTTCATACCTCTCTCGCTCTCATCTGCAGCTTTCTCCGCTTCCTCCAGCTTTTGCAGGGCAGTGGCCAGGCGCTCCTGGGCGCGGTCCAGCTCCTCTTCAACCAGCTGGATCCTACGGTTCAAGGAGGCCACCTCAGCCTCGGCATTTGCACTAACGTAGCAAGTGAGGCACCAACTCCTCCTCTGCTCCTTCACATTGACTGAGAGAGTGGGTTTAGCAGTTGCCCCCATAAGAGGAAAGAGCCCAGGCCGGAGGATGGGAGGCGGTGCTGTGGCCTCAACCTCCTCCAGGGAGGGCACCGTGCTTCCTCTCCGCCGATTGCTGCCTCATTTCCTCTATCCATTCATTATTGATGGAAATTTAGAATGTTTTCATTTTTTTGGCTGCTATTGTAAAAGGACACTAAAATCATTTGTGTACAAGTTTCTTTGTGGACATATGCTCTCAGTTTTCGTGGGTATCTACCTATGAGTGGAATTGGTGGGTGAAATAGTAACTGTTATGTTTAGCTTTTTGGGGAACTTCCAGACCGTTTTCCAAAGTGGCTCTCTCATTTTACATTCCACCAGCAGTGTATGAAAGTTCCAATTTCTCCACATTCCTGCCAACATTTGCTATTTTTTTGTTTGACTATAGTCATTTTAGTAGTTGTGACATGGTATCTCATTGTGGTTTTGATTTGCATTCCCCTAATGACTAATAATGTTGAGCATCTTTTATGTGCTTGTTGGCCCTTTGTGTTTTTTCTTTGGAGAACTGTTTACTCAGATTCCTTGTTTATTTTTTTAATTATGCTATTTGTCTTTTTTATTACTAAGTTGTAAGAGTTCTTTACATATTCTACATTCAGATCCCTCATCAGATACATGATTTGCAAATATCTTCTCCCATTATGTGGGTTGTCTTTCTCTTTGGTGGTAGTATCCATTTAAATACAAATGTGTTTCATTTTTATGAAACCACATTTATCTACTTTCTCTTTTGTTGCTTGTGTTTTTCATGTCATATCTAAGAATCCATTGCCAAATCCAAAGTCACAAAAATTTACTTCTATATTTTCTTCTAAGATTTTACAGTTTTAGCTATTATATTAGGTCTTTGTTTAATCTTGAACTATATACAGTATGAGATAAGGGTCCAACTCCATTATTTTTTCATGTAGACAGCCAGTTTTCACAGCACCATTTATTGAAAAGTCTATTCTCCATCCATTGAATTGAACTGTGATGTGGAAAATGAAAAAGCTGTAAGCTAAAATAATTAGCACCTCAATTGAACCAACCATTAAGCTGGCAAAAACTGATATAATCAGCTTTTTTGGAACCCTGCAATCTAAACAAAAGCTTACAGCAATGAAGCAAGTGCTTAATGAAGGAAAAAATACTGTAAATTTCAATATGAAAGCATTGTAGTATTTTTGCTTACCTTCCTACCATCCTTCATTCTCCAGCTCAGTAGTGCCTGTCTGGACAGTGGCCCACGTTACTAGGGAGACTTGCTGGTGCTAAGGGAGCAATATAAACCTTGTTCTCAAAAAACTGCGGTTGTGAATTTTGACATGTCTGATAGTTACCTGAGGGATTGGCACAGAGGCTCAACTATCTTTTGACCCCTGGAGGGCTGGAGCAGCTTTCTGGCAGTGGTAACATTTGTCAAAAGCATCTAAAGACATATACTATCTGCATCTAGCTGGAGCAAGCAATAGCAAATGGGGCAAGTAGCAGACAGACTCAAAAGCCTGAGAAGGGGGCTTAGGAGGAGGATTCTTGGAGGAATAAGGGCTTTGAAGGGTTACTATGTATACCAATGAAGCCAGAGTGCAGTGTGCATTCTCAGGGCCACAGGCATGTTCAGAAAATGCGTGAGAGGAGGCTTGCACCTCTTGCTAATCTGTGGGCTCCATGTGAGCAAGAGGTATAAAGCATAGGCAGATTTTTAAGTAGCCTGTCTTAGTGTTGAAGGAGTGTCCCAGCTCCAAACAATCTTGGCTCCAGGCATTAAGGAAATCTCCGTCAGCTGTCAGGGTAGTGACTGACCACTGAGATAACAGAACAGAGACTTCAGTGACACACATGACTAGCAATACAGGCTTTGCAAAAAAATAGTTTGAAAAAGTTAACTTTAAGAGTTAAAAGTTAACTTTAACTTAAAGTTAACAACTTAACTTTAGCTCTCAATAATCAACAAACCTTGGGGGAGTGGAGAGAATCTTATTTACAGAGTTACCACATTATAATATTCAAAATGTCAAGTTTTCAACAGAAACTTACAAAGGCATACAAGAAACAGGAAAGTATGGTCAATTCACAAGAAAAAAAGAAGTTGACAGAAACTATCCTTGAAGAAGTCCAGGCATTGGATTTATAGAAAAGACTTCAAATCAACTGTAGTATAAGGTGATTAGAATAACTGAATTATATGGTCAGGGTAAAACACTTGAAACTTTATTTTTCATTAGACTGACAATGCCACCAATTGTGCTGTTATTTTTTACCACAACTCTTTTTTCTATTTACTACAACCCTATATTGAGCTGTGTAAGCAAAATCTTTGACTTCTCTCTTAGAGAATAGAAGGGAGATCAGGGAGAATAGAAGAGTTCTCTTAAAGTTGGTGTTTTGCATTAGTCTGAAAGGCATTGCCACCTATTTTCTGATTGGATCCTTAAAGCTAAGGATCTGTGGAGAAACGAGAATGCTACCAGGCCAGTGCAGCTGGAAGTGCTAGACTATGACCTGTGTGTACTGATCCACCATGAGTTAAGGAAATGGATGGAGAGTGACTATTTAGAAACTCTTAACAGCAATTTCTAAGAATAATTCTAGGTCTGTGGAATATAAGAAAATATTAGGTAGTATTTCAAATGCTGTTTATTTCATTTATTTTTATTGTAGTTTACTTTTATTGTATTTTACAGAAATGCTGATGCACAACAAATTGGGGAAAAATTTTTAAAAACCACAGATGGTTTGAGATCATTGTTCTAGGCAACTTCATCAGATCTCCTAGGTCAGGCTTTTTTATTTGGGAATATAATGATTTGCTAAAATACCAAAGACATCTGTGTTTCAATGTGAAAACAAAATTGACAAACCATTAGCAAAACTGGCAAAGAAAAAAGAGAGAAGATTCAAATTTTAAAGTCAGGAAAAGAAAGGAAATACTCCTCGCATTCTGGCGGCCCCTTATTTTTCAAAGAATTACTTTTGGTTTTGTTAATTCTACTAATTTTCTATTCTTATTAGGTTTATTTCTGCTCTAGTCATTATTATTTCCTTCCATCTGCATCTTCTTGGATTTAGTTGGCTCTTCTGTTTCTAGTTTCTGGAGGTGGAAGGTTAAGTTATTATTGGACATCTTTCTTTTCTTTTAATATAGGCTACAATAGCTGTTAATTTTGAATAACATCCCAATTGTTTTTCTCTCTTCATACATTTTCTAATTGTCTAAAAGTAACATGGACAGTTCCAAAGGAAGTGTTTGTAAACAGCTACTTGTGAAACAGAGGTAGATAGAATAGCTACACCCACTGCATATGTACATGCTCATTGGATTTCAATTTATTTTGCTTGCACACTTTGCTTATAAGTAGCATTATGTGTAAAATAGTGAAGGGGACCCCCTTCACGGAGTCATTCTCGATATTCAAATAATCACTCAGTAATTTCTCTGTTGCATCAAGAATTGATAGAACTGACAGGTAAGCACTGAGTGAAAGCCACAAAAACTTTGGAGTACATGTGGTGTCTCTACCTTTTTTTTCTTAACATTTAAGTTTTCTAATGTAAAGATTAAAGTTAATGGGAACTATTATTTAGAATTAAAAAAACTGACCTAAATGAAAACACTAATTTGAAAAGAGATGTGTACCCCTATGCTCATTGCAGCAGTATTTTTAATAACCAATATATGGAAGCAACCTGTGTCCATGGATGAATGAATGGATAAAGAAGATGTGTCTCCAGACACAACGGAATAGTATTCAGCCATAAAAAGGATGAAATCTGGCCATTTGTGACAGAGAGTTTCATGCTAAGTGAAATAAGTCAGATTGAGAAAGACAAATACTATATGATTTTACTTCTATGTGGAATCTAAAAAACAAAACAAATGAACAAACAAAACAAAACAGAAACAGACATAGATAAAAAGAACAACCAGTTGTTTGCCCATGAAGAGGGAAGGGGTAGGGAATGAAATAGGGGAAGGGGATTAAAAGGTACAAACTTCTAGGTATAAAATAAATAAGACACAGGGATGCAATGTACAGCATAGGGAATACAGTTAATAATATGTAACAACTGTATATGGTGACAAATGGTAGCTAGATTTATTGTGGTGATCACTTCATAATGTATCTAAGTGTTGAATCACTATGTTGTATATCTAATATAATATTAATATATTGTTATGTCAACTATGCTTCAATTAAAAAAAGAAAAAACACCTTAATTTTCAGTAATTTCTGAAGATAAAACTCATTTAAAATTTGGGAAAAAAATTAAATTAAATTAAAATTTGGTTTTATTACCTTCAAAAATTAGGTCTGACAAGCTCTTATAACAGGTGATTAGCCCAAGTAGAGAAGTATAGCATAACCTCACTGCTTTCTTGCCTGGTTTTGGAACAGTATATCAGTGGTATAACATCCAATAACATTTATTAAATACTATATGCAAGATACCTGCTAGACACTGACTTAAAATTGATGGATATATACAGTCCCTTCTCTCAAACAGCTATGTCCATATTGCAAGTAATATAGAACCTAGTAAAAGAAAACTTATAATATTCACTTTAGCTATATTTTTTGGATATAGGAATAGTAAAATAGGAAGAGACATTTTCCCTGGATTTTCTCCCTAGTGTTCTGGCTTCTAAGGAGCTCCAGACACAGTCCTAAGAAGAAAAACATGTATCCAGGAAAGGCTTCTGTGACTGTAAAGCTCTCTCCAGAACAATATATCAACCTCTCTTGATGCACTTCTCACTTATTTTTATCATCTGAATTGTATTCACTTGGCAAATGAAATGGCTAAATTTCAGTCAGGCAACTTGCTCAGCTTCTCTTTAAATTGATGTTAGCCACAGTGGTACTGGGCCTCAGTTCAGTAGTCTTTATTACCTAAATTGCAAACCAAAATCCTCTTAGCCTAACTTCTGGATACCACCCATACTCTCATACCAAAATGAATGTGATCTCTTCATTACACTCGGCATCACCAAGCAC